TGCAGACCCTGCTTCCATTTCCCTGCCACCAGCTTTTAAATCAGCCGGGTGGTGGTTTTTGATGACGTCCTCGGCTGGCGCCTTTCCCAGCTGGCAATAAAAGCAGCTGATGAACTGCGCTGGCGGCTTTTCTTGGCATGGCTCTGTTTCTCCTAAAAATGGTAAGTGTGCCCTCTTTTCAGGGCTTTTTGTTTCTTTCTTTGGGCGGGTCAGCCCTGCCTCAGGTCCCGCTGCAGGAGGGTGCTCCGTGGCCTCCGCTTGTGTCCCCCTGGGACATATATATATATATGTATATATATATGTATATATATGTGTGTATATATATATATATATAGGGACTCTTACTCAAAAAGCCCAGTAATCTAATTCAGACTTTCATTACATTGTTCATTCCTGAAATCAGATGTCCCAAATTGTATAAAATGCCTATTGCTCCTAACTGGCTAAAAATTGACTACTGTGCACATCCTATTACTTATGATACTTATGTTACTTTCCTTTTCCCCCCGGTCTAAACTTCAGCTAGAGAGCTGGCAAGCTAGGAAGCCATTGAACAGACTTGGCAGCTCCAGGCCATGCCCCTGCTCACCAGCCACCTAGTGGTAGGTCAGAGCTGTGTTCTTGGTGTGTAACTGCTCACAGCACATGCTAGCTTTGATGTTTAAACATCCTTTAGAGTTAGCATGTGCTAATTGTAATGTGTAACTACACCCCAAGAGAACTGACAGAACAAGGAGCAACAGTCTCAAGTTGCAGCAAGGGAAGTTTAGGTTATACAGACAGTCCTTGGACTTACAACACAATTGGTTCCTGGAAACCACGTCTTAAGAGGAAATGTCATAACTCGGAACCAATTTTCCCATAGGAACAATGTTATAAATAAGGGATTGGTTCCTGAACTGGGCCCGGTACCCTATTTTCACCAAAAATAACCCAGAATTTTGTACTCAATCAATTATAGATGAGTAATATAGCTACATCAATGTATTTATACTGTAAATAGCAATCATATTGATTTGGAAGGACTTCTTTGAGGTGACTTTGCTGGACTTTTTGAAGGGCTCTTGATTGGACTTTTTGAAGGGTTCTTGGCTGGAGTCTTCTCAGGAGTCTTGGCGGCAGGCTTTTCTGGAGTCTTGTCTGCTTTCTTAAAGAAAGCGTCCAAGAAAGTTTGGACAGATGTTCTCCAGGGAGATGGGCAATGCAGTGAACTTGTTTGCTGGCATGGTGTCACATTCCAGATCAAGTGTAGTAAAGTCATAACTGACGTCAGAAAGTCGAAACAGGGTGTCAATTTATAAACATCATAAGTGCCATTCATTGTAACTTGAAATGTTGTTAAACTGAGGACTACCTGTATTAGGAAGAATTTTCTCAGAAGGAAGGTAGTAAAACACTAGAACAGGTTACCCAGAGAGATGGTAGAAACTCCATCCTTGGAGATTTTCAAAACCCATCTAGACAAATCTTTGGCTGGAAAGATCTAGTTGGAGAGGGTCCAGCTTTGAGCCAGGGGTTGGACTAGATGACCTCCTGAGGTCCCTTCTAACCCAAATTTTCTATGATTCTATGATGCTCCATATTCCTTCCTATGTTTGTCTCATCCACCACAATCAGGTCTTGTCTTTTAGACTGCAAGCTCTTTAAAGTAAGGGGTGTCAATGCCCATATTTTTTGGGAGTGCTCAGTACAAAAGGACTGCTAGAAGCCTGGAGGTACTATCACAATACAAAAAGTATCAAATGATTGTTTGGTTGTTCAATAATATTTGTATGGCAATTTGAACACACTATGCTGAATTCTCCTTTCAGTGACATGAAAGCAATACCAATTAAGTCCGTGTCATTTTTCTGATGCAACTGAGAGGAGCATTTGGCCCACAAATTTTTTCCCTCTCCTATATGGGTCAAATGTGACTCTATACCAGGGCCTAATGAGACCACAGTGGAAGGTTGATGGTCTGGGTGCTCACCACGATCTGGGGGAACGTTTGTTCACCAGAGCACCCCAAGGGATGACAAAGTCGAACGGTCACAAACTCCTCCATGACAGTTTCAGGCTGGACATAAGGAAGAACTTCTTTACTGTCCAAGCCCCCAAGATTTGGAATAGACTGCCGCCAGAGGTGGTTCAAGCACCTACTCTGAATGCCTTCAGGAGGCATTTGGATGTTTATCTTGCTGGGATCCTATGATCCCTGCTGACTTCCTGCCCCTGGACAGGGGGCTGGACGCGATGATCTTCTGGGGTCCTTTCCAGCCCTAGTGTCTATGAAATCCTTATGCAGCACTACCTAAGACACTTGTCTAGGTTAATTTTGAATACCTGACATGTTATCTAGAAAAGGTTATAAAAACACTTGATGCATGGTGCATGGCTCTTCCTGGAGTTCTTCAGGCTACTCAAACAAATGTCAAAGATTTATAGGGAATAAGTGTCTGAAGTTTGCAAGAAAAATGATGTCAGCAATGCAAATTGGTAACCTATGGGTGTGTCTACATGTGCAATTAATGTGACTGAATAAACTCCGGCATATTTGAGCTGGAGTAAACTAATACCAACCTCACCGTCTACATATGTTTAAGTGCAGTAATTTACTCTGCCATTGAATAGTACCAATATCTGATGGGACTTTCCTATGCCAGAGTAAATTAGTCTATTGCACCCTAATTGCAGCACACATGTAGACAGTGACACTGTACTTTACAGTAAATTAGTCTACTGTGCAGTAAAGCGCATGTGTAGATGCATCCAGTGACATCTAAAGCCATGAAGGAAGGAGGAATTAACACTGATTTAGGGGTTGAGGTTTTTAAAAAGCACACCTTTGATATCTTCCTGTTGAATAATAATCTGTAGAGAAATCTTTCATCTCTGGCAAACTGTCTAGTCTATTTCCCATTGCCACCAGTCATTGGATACTTCTTTTGCAAACAATGTAGCATCACCTACCTAGACTTCTCCATATTGCTGTACAGCAGGAGCAACACCCCCCCCAAAACCCCCCAACAAAATAACTAGGAAGCATTTGATTTGGAATTAAACACTGCCCAAGTGATTAAAAACTGGCTGGAAGACCATAATAAGGGTAATGATGCATCAGGTTCTGTTGAGGTAGTCAGTGGGATATTGCAGGGGTCTGTGTTCTGCCTGGTTTTATTTAGCATTTTTAGCAACAGTCTGAAGAATGAATTAAATACATTGCTCATATTTGCCAATTATGTTAATTTGGGGGTTGGAATAAACATCATGGAAAGTGAAAAATAATACAAAGGAACTGAAGACTAGAAATATGGGTAGTAAACAAAATAGAAACGAGCACAGAAAATTGTGAAGTAATTTATACATATGCCAGAAACTACTCCAGAGTAGACCTTTAAGTGGGAGGGAAAAACATGGAACTTAATAAAATAGAAGAAGACATAGGTTAAGCGTAGATCTAGGATAATCATAGTGTTGTGGCATTTCCCAGTCCCATTTCTTGTAATGCTGCAGGAGGAAGAGACTACATCCAAGGCTTCAAGAAATTAATTGAGCTCCTCATTATTTGTAGACATTTTGCTATAATCAGTGAAGTCTATGGACATGCTACAAGTAGCAGCAAGCCTTCAATTTAAGCATCTCCTAACATGTACTAACCTTAATAGGTTACTACATTCCTATTATTTGCAACTATTGCAAGTCAACGTATTACAAGGCCCTTAGGCTGGGTAGTGCTGTGCTACCCCCAGTACGGAGCTCTGGCTATACAGTACAATTTGGTTCTGGAGTTCCTTTGAGAAGGCTGAAAAACAGAAATGCAGCAGATCATGCTTGAGTAGGGCAGCCAGGGTTAGGCAATGATGAAGTTAGGAGAGCAGTAGGAAGAATCAATGAGAAGGGAAAATTGTGATTCTTTATAGAAAAAAAAGTCTTAATTCTTCATTTGCCAGTGAAAAAAAGGGATTTCAGAAGTGACATAAGACTAAAGCGTACTTATAAAAAATGTGTACTGCTGTCACTCTATCTAGCCTCTAACTCTACAGAAACATGTACAGGATATTTGCCAGTGGGAGATTTCTCCAGTAGGTGTTCATGTTTTGAATGTGTTTATAATGAAACTCTGACAATGTTTCAATAAGCAAAGGAACAGTTATCACAATGTTCACAGTTCACACCAAGCTCTGTCCATCACACTGAATGTTCATTTCTTAAGACTTTTCTCCGTAAATACAGAACAAATTATACTCTCTAGAGCAATTCTTCTTGAACAAAGTTAAAAACATTTTGATCTCACCCAGCTGAACTTGGCGAGAGGTTCCTGGGGAGAACTGGTGGAGGTCTAAGAACAGAGAGAGAAGCAGGGTGGAATAGAATTACACTTGGGTGTCTAAACCCACTTGGGTGCTCCTGAGGAGGACACCCAGGACTGGAGGATGCTGAAGTCAGAAGAGTAGTAGCAGGATTTGTCTGCTGACTTGCCTCTATTCCTGGGAGCTGGATCCAGATGGCCAGGGAAGGCCAAGGGACGAAGACATAGGAGCATAGGGCAAAGGACCATTGGAGAGGCTTACTTGCTGACTTCTCCAAGCTAAAGCTGAGGGACTGGAAAAGATTGAGGGTTTGTTGACTGTGCAGGAACCTGCCTGCTGACCTGCCCGGGGCAGAGAAGAGACAACTGTCACCTGGAAAGACTTAAGAGTTTCTAATGAGAGCTTGGAAGGGCTGAAGATGTCACTTCTAAGAATGCAATATGGGGTGGGATAAATTCAGTTTGCATCTGTATTTTAGAGAGTATCTTCCTGACCTGACATGGTGTCCTCCCTCTCCCCAGCAGGGATGATTCTAGGAAAGTATACACTGGAATCCTTGAGCAGTTGAGAGGGAAAATGATGGAGGTTGCCCCTGCAATATTGCAGCAGCCATGAGATGGTGTGACAGATGGGGGATCCTGCCTGTTGACTGATAGATTAAGAATAAGTCTTGTCATCACAAGCAATGACTAACAAACAGTCAATATGTAGACATCAGGTTGTGTTTTATTACACAAGTCATCAGGATCTTATTTATGTACTGATATACAGAAACACTTTTTGTTGGAACAACAGATACATTTAACATCAGTCGTGAATCATGAGTACCAAGCTCACTTTCTTCCAAACTGGGGCAAAGGTGGTGGCACCTTAATGTCTTGACCTTTTTCCAGCTTCTTCTCACAGTCAGTCAGATAACTGACTCCATCAATGACTATCTGGACAAGCTCCACCTTAAATAATAAAAACAAAATTTATATAGATAACACTCTTAAATGAGAGGGGAAGGCTGATGGGTCCTGGCAGAAGAGTTAGTAGCCCCAGACAGAGCTGGGACATGGCATAAAAGGGAATTGGAGCCAGGATGGCTGTGGTAGAGAAGAACTGGCTACAAGCATAACTTGACCCAGAAGGTTACCTTCATCCATCCACCTCCGTGAGTACACTGCCCCTTGACCCACTCTTCTCATGGAAAATTTCTACACAATTTGGTAGATAATATTTCTAAGGGTGTTGTGAACTAACATAAAAAGAATGGTGATAAAGAATGGAATCATAAGGGATAATAAAGAATTTTATCTCTTCTGTAGAGTTCAATAGCATGTTTTAAAAAAAAAAGTCTCCAAGAAGACTATTAGGGCCAAATTCTATTCCACCTAATAGGTTTTTAAGTATACTTAGGCAGCTAAGTGTTATCCTATTCAACTCTGCTTGAGACCCTGAAAAGCTATTAATACAAAAGGTGGGTGTGCCGTCCTCCTCCTCGCTGCTTTTTTCTGGTGTGTAAGATGACGGTGATATATTAATGGATTTTCAACTGCTCAAGCAGGGTGGTACAGAATTGCTATTAGGCACCTACTTCCACTTAGGTATCCAATAGGTAGAATAGGATCTGGCCCTTACTTTTTTTACATATTCATCTTTAGTGGAATATCCTTTTGGTTTCATCCCTATCAAATTCTGTAGGACTTTCTATAACAGACTTCACTTCTGCTTAGCCTCAAAAGATACAAAGCTGAACCAAAATTGGCAATTTGCTCATTTTCCAGTTTATTTTCTCTTTCCTGTTGAATGAATGACTGTTTGTTCAGTTCCTCCTTCCTGTCCCACCCACATATTTTGCTGTTCGTAGATTCCTGGCTGAGATCTTTCTCCTCTACAATCTATGCGAAGAGCTCCTTTGTTCATCAGTGGCAAGGAGTGACTGTCTTCTCAGAGCTAACTGCCTCCTCTCAGTGTGTCACAGTTGGCCCAAATAAACCCAAAATAACCCTCTCTAATTTTTATCAAGCCGAAATTTGGCCCACTGAGAAGAACATATTTCAAAAAGGTCTCTATGTTTGCCTTCACAAATTCCGCTCCCACATTTTTATGTGGGAGTACAAAAGTCAGGTACAAACAAATATGCTTAAATGCAAGTGTTCTCCTCGTTCCTCTTCCCACACCCAGTCCCCCAAAAAATACATGCGTTTTGGTGTGCAAGGACCACCCCCCCCACACACACACACACGTACTGTGAAACACCTCTGAGGACAATCCTCACTATTCCCCACTTACTATGTTTTCAGTATCTACTGAAAATGAGAAATTAAAAGTAATTGCTTCTTTCTGAAGCAAAGCATGTCAGTGTGAGCAAAGTGGATGCTGCTTTTGGCTGAGGTTGTCTTGTAGGTGTAGGAATGAAACATCCTTCAAGTTCTGGAGGAAAGTGAAGGATGACATACGTCCCTAGCACAGGACATTTGGATTTACTCCATGATTGCAAAATGGAAATCCCCTATATTCTTAATCTTTTCTATTCTTATCCTACCACAATCAGCTGCCTTGATGTAGAAAAAGCTTCGTCAACTGAGTTTTGCCTTTATAGTGATGGTAATAATGTCAAGCCACATATCCACATTTCTTGGCCTGTGGACCCCTTTCAAATCTCTCCAGGTTTTATACCAGGTATAACCCTATTGAATTCAATAGTGTTAGTCCTGATATCCAGGTGGGTAAATGAGATCTGAATCAAAGCTGAGGCCAGACCGTATTCCACTTAATAGCACATAAATGGACTTAGACATCTATATATGTGATACTATTCCACCCTGCTTCAGTCCTTGAAAAGTACAAACATGCCTACTTTTTAACATGTCATTATAGTCTTATGCCTAAGTCACAAAAGCAGTGAGTAGAAGGAGGACCCATTCACCTTTGGCATTAACTGTTTTTCAAGGTTTCAAGCAGGGTGGGATAGGGTCATATTTAGGGACTGAAGTTCACTTAAGCACCTACAAGATAGAACAGGATCTGGCCCCTTGAAGCAGTAACAAAAGCTCATTTTCTGTGTAGCAGGAGACATGTGTGTCTGTGGAAGCTCTTTTAGTAAGTATAAAGAATAAAAAGGAAGGGACAAGGTAAACCTGGCAGGTGAGAATTTTATGACAACTAGTGGTATGAAGGTGTTCCAACTCCCCCTGTATTATTAACTTTAAGGTAGCTAGTAAACTATGTTACTGATTTGTCTTAATCTTCATTAACTGGTTCATTACCAATCTTTAATGACTTGTTTGTTAAAACTGAATGCCCAAGCTAAATCCCATTGCCTCTGTACTGTGACAGTGACTGATTTTCAAGGGATTTGATTTTACCATAAAGCATTTCAGTGGCTTAACAGTTTATTTTATTGTCTTTTACAGACCAGCTGTGCTGGGAAATCAGAGGTCTGATTCTGCAGCCTCCAGGAGGGAGGGGATTTTATATTAAGTTTGCATTGACCAGTATCTGAAACAAACAAAAACACAAACAACTTTATGTTGCCCCTTTGGGAACATAATGTAGTTCTGCAAACACATTTACCATGTAATGAAATTTATTTTATTTTGTGCTGGAAAATATATGTCCTCTAATAAAACAGTTCTATTCTCTAGTGTTTGTTTGTCTTGTCTTATTTAGATTTACAGCTCTTCAGAGCAGGGAATGTGTCTTTCCTGTGGACTTCATCCTTCAAACATTTATTCCCATTGGCTTCACTGGAGATATCTCCATGGCCATGGGTTTGTAAGACTAAACCAACTATTTCCAAACCCCTTTGTTAAATAACACTGCAATATAAATGTTTTATTAACAATATTTCAGCATAAAGGACACATCAGGCATTTGAACTCTGGTACATTTCATGATCACATATTGATTCTTAAACAATATATCATAGCTCCTCGTTTGCCTATAACAGGTGCTTACTGTGCACGTGGCTCACTCTCTCCCAATTAATCAACAAACATTTAAGCATTTGATCCAAATTGAAATACTGTCAGCAGGTATAACTGAGATTGACCTATCTCAAAGTGCCAGTGGAGGAGGGGGTCTGTCCTGGGAGGGGACCGATTTGGGTTCAGATCTATGCACAAAGCAGACAGCGGAGGGAACTGAACTTTGGTTTCCTACAGTACTCTAACCACCAGCATGTTGCATATAAAGGAGCCCTGGAATCTAGTCCTGAATGCCTGGATTACTTCTGTTTTTAGTTAATGATTGTGCAGTACAATCTGCATTCCCAATCCAGTGAGCATGAACCAGCAACTAGTACTGACTTTTCCTATGGAGTGCACTCAACTAGTCTCTGGAGTTGGACTGCTTCTTTAGTGTTGCCCATCTTTCTCTGACTCTTGCATTCTTAGCTGCATAGTGAGGCAGATTCAAGAGGAGGTGTGGACAGTGTTTTCAGCCAGCCCACTCTATATAACTGGATGGTTGGGCACTCTTCTAGAAAGTTAGAAATGTGAATTTAATCTCCTAAAAAGGGGGAGGGTCTAACAGTTCTCCTACTTCCTGAGTGTTCTGCTCATTATCCTACTAGTCAAAGGTAAGTACTACAAACAGAGCAATGACTGTGTCCGTAAGACACCCACCGCCAGAAGAGTTCTGGATCCCAAGTGGATATGGAGTCACCCAAGCTTTGAACAGGGGCAGGAATTCTGCAATATCTGTGTTCAATATTTCCTTCTACCTGGCTCTAAGCTCCTCTCTGATCAGCATCTGGGCTCTCTGGGTTATCCTTTAGAAGCATGTAACTTTTCCCTTTTGACTGCATAGGGAGCCTAGATACCTAAGTCTTTTTCTTTTAATCACCCTCCCAGAGCAAAATGCCTAATTTTGGGGTGCTGCAAAGCCAAAAGAGAGGTGCCTAAGGAACCCATCTGGATTTAGCTTATATCAGTAACTTCACTTTGGGTGAATATTTTCATTGGATCAGATTTTCAACAGATATAAACAGTCATGGCTCCCATGACTTTATTGGAGCTATGATCAACTAAATCAGCTGAGGATCTTCCCCATCATATTTAAAACTATGGATAAAAATGTACCTCTGATCTGCCCATACGGTCCACGTTGGAGATATCATACACATCTGCCACAGCTTCTGTATCCACACCACCAGTGCCACGTTTCTGCAACCTCAGGTTCTCCAGGATCTTTGAAAATCTGGGATCCTAGCATAAGAGATGTGTTTGTACTAATTGCATTTTGGATATTATTTCTTGTATTCACTCCTGGTAATGCCACTATCAGTTATGTCAATAGTTTCTTCAGAAAGACCAGTAGAGATGAATTGTTTTCTTATATCTTTGATTTACAGCCAATCTTTGTAGTCTGGAGAATATATAACAAATACTGAAATCTGAGGGATAAAAATATGCCTAGTTAATCATATAACTGTTTCTGGGACCTCACAGTTGCACATAATTTAGGGACCTACTGAACTAACAGCAGAAGTAGGCTGTGCTGCAGCTCCTTTAATCTTGCAGGTTTCCCCGCATGCCCCCACCCATTGAAATCTGGTGCTGTTTTTGCTTCCTGCCACTGACTGGCCAAGGGGGCCTGGTGGCCCCACTGCTTGCTGCTGACCAGAGGGGAGGCAAAAACAGGGCCATGCTTAAAACCGTGGTTTTTGCTTCCCTGCTGATCAGGAGGGAGCAGTGGGGCCCCTCCGCCAGTCAGTGGTGAGGGGGAGGGGTATGCGGGGGAACATGCAAGATTAAAGGAGCTGCCACATACTCCCCTTCCACCATGAATTCAGTAGGTCCCTACATATAACGCGAACATGTTATTGCTGTGAATTGTCATTTTTTCATGTGTTCCTCCTTGACTCAGATGAGGAGCCAATTGGTGTCACAGGCCTTATTAATGCTTCACATACCTTGCTGAGCTTTGCAAGTTTAACATGGACTCCTGCACGTAATCCTGTTCCCAGATTGGAGGGACAAGTCAAAACATATCCTAGACGCTCGTTCCACATGAACTCCCAACCACGTTCTTTAATTAATCTTTCAACCTGCAGATGCAAAAAACAGAGAAAACTGCTGCTGTTTAAAATTCAAATGTTTGTCACCTTCTATCAATGTGAACCTGAAATCTATTATGCCAATTTCTGACTTCAGTTATACTCCTGTATGTCAGTACAATTCTGTAGTATATATGTAAGCAGAATTAAATACATAAAACACATAATGTGCACATAAAAGAGACTTGAGTTTTGTACACTTGAGTGTGACAAAAACCTAGTTCTCATATAGCACTTTCATTAGAAGATCTCAGAGCACTTTACAAAGAAGGCTTACAGTAGCCATGTTATCATCTCCATCTTACAACTGGAGAAACTGAGGCACAGGGTGGGGAAATGATTTGTTATGGTCAACCAGCAGGTTAGTAGCCTAACCAAGAATAAAGAACAGGTCTCTTGAATCTTGGTCCAGTGCTCACTGTGTTCACTCCACTGACTTGTAAATCTGATGTGAAAGGAGAATTGGGCCTATGTATTAGTTCTGGCTCATAACACCCCAATATGGTCATTCAGTGTCTTGATTTTCCAGCTGTATTAGCTGAGGAACAAACAGGCTAAAGAATCATAGAAACTCATATAAAAGTAGGGTTGGAAGGGACCTCAGGAGGTCATCTAGTCCAGCCCATGCTCAAAGTAGGACCATCCCCAACTAGATCATCCCAGCCAAAGCTTTGTCTAGCTGGGTCTTAAAAATCTCCAACAATGGAGAGTCCACAACCTCTCCAGGTGGGTAACCTGTTCCAGTGCTTTCCTACCCTCCTAGTGAAAAAGTTCTTCCTAATATCTAACCTAAACTTTCCTTGCTGCAACTTGAGACCATTGCTCCTTGTTCTGTCATCTGCCACCATCCTCTTTGGAACCCCCCTTCGGGCAGTTGAAGGCTGTTATTAAATCCCCTCCCAGTCTTCTCTTCTGTGGACTAAATAAGCCCAGTTCCCTCAGCCTCTCCGCAGAAGTCACGTGCCCCAGCCCCCTAACCATTTTTGTTGCTCTCCGCTGGACTCTCTCCAATTTGTCCATATCCTTTCTGTAGTGGGGGGGCCAAAACTGGACACAGTACACCAGACGTGGCCTCATCAATGCAGAATAGAGAGGAATAATCACCCTCTATCTGCTGGCAACACTCCTACCAATGTAGCCCAGTATTCCATTAGCTGAAAGGTTTTGCTGAAGTTAACTAGGGAACCTTTAACATCACCAGCATTACTAGCAGGAACCTGGTCTTTACTTTCTAGTTTTAATTTTCTTCCCTGGGTTGTAAAAGGTTCATGCCTGTGTCACACACAGCAGGAGTTGGTATCTGCTGATGCTACCAGTGACAGTTCCAGGGTCAGTGTTGAACAGATTGAACAGATTGTTGAACAGTGTTGAATAGACCTTGGAACAGATTATAGGAACCATGATTCCTTCTCCCTATACTCTATATGATGTATTATATTACCTTCCCTGCAATGTTGTGCAGTATTTTGGATGCCTCTAATAAGAACACAGACCTGATGCTATTTAGAGGGGAGGAGAGGCAACAAAAGTATATCAAAAGACACTTCTGTGTTCCCCCAATCCCAAAGCTCTGAGGCTGAGTCATAGAATTCATAGAATTCATAGATGTTAGGGTCGGAAGGGACCTCAATAGATCATCGAGTCCGACCCCCTGCATAGGTAGGAAA